AAGAAAAAAAAATTTTGTCAAACTAAAGCGTCTTCGCTTAATATACTTTATAAATATTTGAATAAGCAAGAAATAATTTATTCAACTTAAATTATTACGAGATAATCAAAATATTTCCTTTCATTAAAAGGATATTGTGTCACATCTCAAATAAATATAAAGTTCAATTTACTATCTATTTGTCACTCCGATTATTATGTTTAGTTAAATAAAACATACATGAATTTCACGATAATATTGTGTATACAAATTTCAACTGTAAAGAAGTTGAACGTAAACGGTATGTAATTATTTTAAACATAAATTTGATTGTTTTATTATTTTTTTTATTTGACACATATATCCTTTTGTTGTCAAAATTAACTATTTAATGAATCATCAAAATAAGTTCCTATTCAATAAAATATATTCTAAAATCAAATAAATCTTTTTCCTGCAATAACTCAGTTTAGTTGAGCCAAATTTAAAATTATCATAGTAATTGCACAAAATACTTTGCTCTTGTTTGATATTTATTTCCATGTATTCGACCTCAGCATTTTGTTGAGTCAAATAGTTCTTTTTTTGTTAAACAATTTTTTTTTCTCAGTGTACCATTTTATTATATTATGATTTTGTTTTATTTTTACCTAAAAAAATAATTACAAAAATTTCGTCTCTTACATATAGAATAAAACTATTAATTGTGGACCACTCTTAAAAAAAAAATCATATGTTCTATTTAAAACAACATCAAACAATTAATAAAACGTTTAATAGTTACAATTGATTATAAAGATCACGTTATAAGTTTATTTTATTATATTTTATATATTATATTTTAATTTGAATTTAATAAAGTATAAGTAATTATCCATATTTAGACTTCATGTACTAATTGCGGATTAATTCATTAAATGCTTTATTTTTTTTGGTAACGTTATTACATTCCATAAGAATAATAAAAGTGATTTGCACATGCATATCGTAATATACAGGTGTCCCAGAATGATCGCCAATTATTTCGTGTGCGACACGATTACGATAACCGGAGCCTTTCAAAATAAAAGTAATTTTGAGAAGTATTTGTAGGCAGGAATACGATAAAAAATTCTCTAAGCAACAGATATCAAAATGACTAAATGAAAAAATAAAGAAAACTTCACGATAATTATTCAGATTAAGGGACACCCCGCCGATAACTTTGACCTTGACATATATTGTCAAGGTCATAACCCTGAGTGATCTTCGACAGATTTTAGATGGCATCTTTCGTTAAAAAGTTATTAACAAACAAAATTTTTATAATAACGTTTTACTTCTACTACATTTCACCTGAAGCGACTCACTCCTCTCCCCCCTGCAAAGGGGCGAACAACTTTCAGCAGAATATTTTAAAGCAAGAAATACGTGTTATATAATTGTATTGTATGTACCCATGGGTATATAATAACTTAACCCTAACCTAACTTAACCATAGTACACTAGGTTATTATATATCATTAAACTTTCTGAATATTTCTGAATATTTCTGAAAAATGTAGTAGAAATAAGACATTATTAAAAAAATTTTTCTTGTTAATAATTTTTTGACGAAAGACGATCTCCATCTAAAAAATGTACCCATGGGTATATAATAATTTAATCCTAATCCAACTATGTACCGTATTATATATCATTAAACGTTCCAAATATTTCTGAGTATTTCTGAAAAATGTAGTAGAAATAAATATTATTTTTAAAACTTTTTTTGTTAATAACTTTTTAACGAAGGATGACCGCATAAAGTTATTTTTCTCGTATTCCTGCCTACAAATGCTTCTCAAAATCACTTTCATTTTGAAAAGCCCCGGTTATCGTAATCATGCCCATATGTTGATAGAGCGGACTAAACTGAGTCGTGAAGTCTTTTGCCATACTGCAATTATCGCAATAGTAATTAAGGTATTTATTATTAAAAGTCGCCGAATTAGTTTTCAATAATTTTTTATTCAAGTTATCAATTATCAACTTTACAAAAAAAAAACAAATAAATGATAAAAATTATTTATTTTCTTTTCATAGAATTCTGAGAAATTTTTCAGAATTTTTTAGTATCGCATTTTCTTATGTTGGTAAAAATAGTTACCAATAAGAAAATGCAGTATTAAAAAATTGTTTAAAAAATTTTGAAAAAATTCTCAGAATTCTACGAGAACAAATTAAACAATTTTTGTCTCTTGAGCAAAAAGTTATTGAATAATTCATGTGCTGATAGAGCGGACTAAACTAAGTTAAAAGGTATCCTCTATTATTTTGTAATGTTCGCATTAAGTTAACAAGATATTAATTACCAAAAATTGTCGAATATTAATCTTCAATAATTTTTGGTAAATGTTTACTTTTACATAGTTAGACCCAAATGACCTTCAACTGACCTTGACCTTGACCTTTAAGAAAGTCAAGACCATTGATCTTTTCTGTCGCTTGTTATTCATTAAAAAGTTAACAGAAAAATTTTTATAAATAGCACACAATTTTCAAATATAAAATGCATATTTTAATAGTATTTTCCTTGACCAGGGACTTTCAAAACAAATTCTCTGCTTAAAACACAAATTCTGTTCTGAAATTGAATTTTTAAAGCAGGGGGTAAGTGGAGTGGGAGTCGCTTCGGTGAAAGTCGTGCGCTCTCAATCAGGGGGAAATGAGATGATCGTCATTGCTTTAAAACAAAAAAAATTTAAAGCAGAAAAATTACGTACTATTCATAAAAATTTTGTTCATAATTTTTTAATGAACAACGAGCAACGGAAAAGGTTAATGACCTTGACCTCCTTGACGATTAAGGTTAGTTGGAGGTCATTTGAGACTGATTAAAGAAAGATAAATATTTACCTAATTTTTTACTCAAATACTATCAACTTTACAAAAGAACTACAAGAGACAGAAATCAATTTTCTTTTCATAGAATTCTAAAAATTTTTTCAAAATTTTTTATCAACTGTTTAATACTGCATTTTCTTATTTTTAATAATATGAGAAAATATGGTATTAAAAATTTCAAAAAAATTCTCAAAAAATTCTTATAACTTTTTGAGAGAAAAATTAATAATTTTTGTTTCTCATTGTTTTTCTCTAAAGTTGATAGTATTTAAGTAAAAAATTATTCAAAACCAATGTTCAGAGATTTTTAGTAATTAATCTTAGTATGATATTGTTATGTTTGGTTACCTTCCTTAATACCAAGGTTTATGAAACCCTCTAACTTTATTACGCTATGTCTCTGAACTGAATATGTATTTTTTAGCTCAAAATGTGTAAAATTTATACCTTAAAGTCAGACAAAGATAAATAAATATAAATCAAATAAATATTTTATTTTCAATTAATTACAATGTTTCAAAGAAATTTTATTGGAAAAATTCGCAAAAATAACTACTTCGAATAACAAATTTTCAAATTTTTAAATTTAATGTTCAAGCGAAAACGCATAGGATTTTTTTAATTGATCCTTTGTACTAACAAAAAAAAAATACGATATGAATCGCTCAAAAGGTATAATTATTTGAATTATTAAAAATCGACATTTTTGAAAAATCTATATATTTTAAATTTACAAACAAAATTTTATTATTTGAACAATAAAAGAGTAATAATATAAGTAGATAAAGGATTGTACATGTATATAAATATTATTATAGCATGTATAATTAAGTTTATTAGGATTTAGTTTAAAGGATGATACAATACTTGCTCTAAAGCAATAAATTCGCCCCGACCGAGCTGTCAAAAAAAAAACCGAAGACTGACAGAAATTATAAAATTTCAACTATTTATTATATTAAAATATAATTCTTTTTAGTTCTACATTTTCGGGTACTTACTTTTATACTATCGGAAACTCAGTAAACGTATAAAATGTAATAAAAAATAAAGGGATACCCAGAACGCCGAAAATTTACAAGCTAATCACATGTGGATCTCAAATACCTTCTTTAAACTTTTGTACATTCTTACATCGAGAATAACGCAAAAAAAACCCTTGCAGGTTTATCATATCAATGGATAATTAAAGCTTTTTTCAGCCTCAATCCGGGTCTTTAAATTATATTATAAAAAAGCAATGTAAAATATCGCACAGAATACGTTGAACCCATGAATATCATAACAGGGTTAATATCTTGTTAACTATTACAAAAATTGCAAAATGGTAGAGGACTCAGTTTAATCTCATCTATCTCCTGTAAATTATTGCTAAAGTGTCGCCGGACAATCTATATAATATTGATCGTAAGAGAATTGTAACATGTAATTTTTTAAAGACATTACATAAATTTATTTGATACTATGTACTCATTTGTGTAATAAAACAATAGCAAGTTATTTTAATTTCTATTAAAATCAAGATTTTATAATTAGATCTTTATTCCGCCCATCCCCTCAATTGTGGATCATGATACAATTTTAATAGATTCAAATTTATTTAAAATTGGTGATAATTAAAAATCAATGATATTTAAAATTACAATAAAAATGAATGAAAATTAAATGTTGAGCAATAAAGACTAGTTAAATTATGAATAGTAATACTTTTTGCATATAAACATGTAGGTATACTATTTTATATTCTATTTCGATATTTAAAACAAATGAATCTTTTCGGAATGGCATCAGAATGGCATTGTAAGATTTGACAAGTTTTTAAATATTTTTATAATAAATTTACACAATAAAAGTATTGTTAGGTGCCATTACACAAAGCGCGGAAATGCGGAAACGTAGAAGAACGAAATTAATTAAACTTTACTCTAGATTTCCATTTCTTCTTTCTAATTGCCTTATCTAAGTGCCAAAGTAAAATAAATGCTAAAAAATCTTGTGATATCATTTTTAATGGAAAATATTATAATAATTTAAACATAAAAAGTAATCCGGAACTAGTGCTTGATCCACATCTAATGCTTTTATCCTAACTATGTTTGCTAAAAATCTTCTTTTATTTGTAATTGAAATATTTAAAAAGATTTTTTATTTTACAGGATGCTCCACCGAATTATGAGAATGTTGACTTGTCATTTTCATATATAAGCAAAGATTGCACAGGATTAAGGTATACATTCATCAACCATTTCGTAAATCAATACAAGTAAATTATTCTATACCTAGAAAACTATTAATCTTAAATTTTATAATTTGGTAGACATATAGGAGCCTACGCACTTTTCCATCAAAATTTATTGGGAGCAAATCATATATGCAGACATCAATTATTTAGTCCCGCTATTGATAAACTTATAGCGTAAGTTTAATGTAACAACGAGTAAAAATAATTCTTTCTCGGAAACTCTAGCAATTTATATTTTAAATTTTTTATCTATATAGAAAAAATGGTCTTGCTGAAATATCTAAAAATTTAGATAACAATCGGAAATAATAAATGTCGGAAACGCGTAATTCTAGTAAAAATGGAAAAAATTATTTAATAAATGTCTTCTGAAAATAATTTTGTTTGGATCGCTCCAAATAGTTATGCAAAACGTTTAAGTTAGTTGCTGAGATATCAAAACTTTTTGCAGCAGTATCATCATGCTTACACACACACACACACACACACACACACACACACACACACACACACGCGCGCACGCACGCACGCACGCACGCACACACACACACACACACACGCACACACACGCACAGACACAACGTCAACTGTTCAGGTGTACAGAATTCTTTTTATTCTCGTATGAATGTAACAATAAATAAATATATGTTTCTATCCTTCGTTTTGGATCCTTTCCAATATAAAATATAATTCTAAATTACATAAGTAAACCTTAATTAAAAATGTAACTACGGTCAGTCCAATAAAACTTTCGAGTAGCGAAACACAACAATTTTGCCCGTTCTTCATTTTTTCGATTCTGACCGCCGGCACCACAAGATTTATGTCGAATCGTGAAAATACTTACATTAAATCTGACGATTTGATGAGTGAGATGGCTACCTATTAACGCAATGTATACGACACCGTTTTTATTTTATCATTTATTGGAATTTTAATAAAGAAGAACTGACTAAATTGTTGTTTCACCATCCTGAAAGTTTTATTGGATTGACCGCAATTACATTTTTAGTTAAAGTTTACTCTCACGTAATTTAAAATTATATTTTATATTGAAACGGACCCAAAACGAAGGGTTGAAACGCATATTTATTTCATTACTGTTATATTCATATGAGAATAAAAAGAATTCTGTGCACTCGAACAGCTGGCGTTGACTCTGATTGGCTTTTTTTATACATATATCACTGATAAATTCTTTCGAGTCTTATTTTACTTGTTTACATCCATTCTATGAATGAGACTTAACAAATGCAAAATACATTTATATCACTAAAAAAATTATAAGATTGTACTTTCCTATGAAATTACATCACTACGGTGTAACATAATTTCATAAATTACACTTTTTCATGATTTTGTTATATAAAGGAGGGACAACAAATGTGATAAATTGATAAGAAAATAATCGATCAGTAAGTACTATTGCAAATTATTTTTCATTATTCGTCAATATAACAAATAATCAAAATAATTAATATCGCTAGCAAATAAAATCTATCCAAAAAATAGGTTAAGTTCTCTACAGTTATAAAATAGTTTGCTTCTATTATGCGATCAATTAATTATTTTTATACAGTTAGATAATAATATATACGATTGTGTCATGTCGATTTTTGCTTTATAGATATATTTTAAAGATATTTAATTCTAAATTTATAGAATTTTACATTACAAGAAGTATAACCTTATTCTGTAATTATTCTCTTTTAAATTGAGACATTTTCGTATAAGGCAGCAATTTAAAAATCGTTATAAATATAAAGTAAACACTTAAGTTTATTCTCATGAAGTTCATTTAACTGACCTTACAAAAAATTTATATTCTTTAATGAAAAAGGCTAGACTATATGTTAAATGGATGCGTGTATATCGAATGAGCATCTTACAACTTTTATTTTGTCATTTTAAAACTATTTAGTAACATATAAAATTAACAATAATTATATAAGATATTGCTAGTAATCTTTCTATTCCATTATTTTAATCGTTTTTATTATGAATACTGTCTATTGACTAGGAAATAGAGCGAGAACCTCCTTAATAGAAATGCGCAAAAATTTAAACTATGTATCAAAAAGGCATAAACAATAATTGATTAAAACTAATTCAAATTGGCTCTTGAAATATTAACACAAATAAAAAATTGACTAAAAAACGGACAATTAAGACAGAGTTCTTTCATCATGCTTACACGAACATAATTAATAAATTTTAATAATTTTTTTGATTGATATATCTTAAGCGGCTATCTATATTGTTTTTCAATCCGATGACTTTTGATAATGTTGTTGTTACTTCTCTTAGAATATTTATTTCTTAATGTTCTTTTACATTAGTTGACTCTGCTTTAACTACATTGTGTTTCTTTTAAGAAATTTAATTTAATTTTATTTGTTTTTGTGATTAGAATTTATTTAATTTATAATATTGTGCAGTTATAGTTTGCAGTAGGTAATTCTCCTTAAAGTTTTATTATCCTTCTTTTTTTTTAGTAACTGTTCTTTTTAATGATTATTTCTGATTTAGCTCGCACTTAGCTAGTCAACTAACTGACGATTATATATACTCCAGACATGGGAATCTGTTGAACCTTACCTGCTACACCCGATTTCTACTACGTTATGAACATTAGATTGTGAACAATTATTACTATGGGGACTGCTGAAGATGGCTTGAATACAGCCGAAACATTCAGTTTGGCATTTTATGTAATAGATCAGTAGATGCGAAGTATATGTATTTATGATATTCGCACCAATTATCGCTGTTACGTCCAAACCTTTAGGAATTCGGTGAAAGAGACAATGAGGAAGAATGGAGAGGATGGTTAGATTAAATCTCACAGGTATACGCATAGAGACGAATACTTGTGAGTCGCATGCACCTTTTCAGTCCCACAATACGGGTCAACGTCCCGAAGGGACGCTATGGCATCTGTTCCGAGGAAGTGCGAACGTCAATTCTACTTTTTGAGTCAAGGAACTTAATCCTTTTAATCCGGGACTAGACCTTGTGCGATCTCAGGTGTTTAAAGGGAAAGGAATGCGAGAAGTGATTCCAATAAATGACAGCTAAGGAAATATACTAACTTACATTTATTAATGATAAAAAGAAGGAATATTAAGTTTATATAAAATATTTATACATAATAAACTCTTTTTTTTACATATTATATAAATAGGAAATTTTATTGCGTGCGTGCGTGCGTGCGTGCGTGCGTGTGTGTGTGCGTGCGTGCGTGCGTGCGGCTCGGGATTGAGAAGGAGGAATTGGGAACTGATCTAAAAGAGGAGGGAAAGGAAATCCTTCTTCGAGAGAAAGAGGGAGAGGGAATCGTCCCTCGAGAGGAGAAAGGGGAGAGAATCGTTCCTCGAGAGGAGGAGGGGAATAATTTAAGATTTCTCGGATGGCGGGATTGATGACAGAGGGAGAGGTGAAGTCTAAAGGTTGTGTCTGTTCTAATGTTGGTGAGTAGGGGACCTCGAGAAATTGATCGTCGGTCGATTGTGGCGGCACGATTGTGACTTGGTCAAGGGGACGGTTCCGCCTACTCCTCCGGACATAAGGAGTTCATTCCCGTTTTCTAATGGATGTACTAGTACGCACTACAATCCGAAGAGTTGTCCGAAGGGTAAAATATATGTATGTTTCGTCGAAAAAGCTTATAAGTGTATATATATGTTTCCATGAGGGGAGACGAGAGGATGAATCGGAAGGAATGGTAGGGCGACTTACTGGTTAGCTGGCTGTTCACGAGATCTCGGATAGCTTCCGGTTGGTATGCGAGGAGGTCCGTTGTCCATGGAGAGCGCCAGAAGGGCAATCGCAGTGATGTATGCCTGATGATCGCAATGACGATTTGCCCATAATTTATCTTTTCTCTTCGCATGAAATCGCGAACTGGCTGATTATCGCAGGTTCTGATAAGATTTCCTCATTGCCATGACAATGGTTTAATTCGTGAACTTCACTGACGTGAACCGGGTGATTTTGAGTTTTGTACTGACGCTCTGCGCTTCCGCGGGACCTCTATTTATACCTTGAAAAAAGGGCGTTGTGCTCTTTGTCTAAGATGCAAAAGTTAATTGCAATGTCACGCGCGATTTACGATTTTTATAACGTCCTATCATTGTTAATCTAAAGTGCATCGTTAAAGAAATTTCGAAAAGAAAAGAAGTGATTTACATTTTTCTTTAAAGAGGCAAGATTGCTCCAGATGGATGACGAATTCTGTTATCCTCGTGAAAAATATGGCTAGGTAAACAGATAGTTATCGTGCACAACTAGTTTTGCGTGCAGGGCAATCATTGTCAGTCGCGAGTCTGATCTTAGATAACGTGGGAAGTTATCCTATGCGTTTTATGATTTTTTAAGCGCGACGTGGCGCCTGTTTTCCTAAGATGAAATTGTTAGTCAGTCTGGGACGAAAAGCTTAGATTTTTACTATTGCGTGACTTCGGTGTATTTATGTTTTTTGCAATCTTGTCTTTTTTTGGGCCTGCATGAAGATTGTTATTCCTTCCGGGTTGATTAGTTGATTTATGAGTTTTCTCGGAGCCTGTTCGGTTCCTCTTTTCCGTTATCAGAAGGCTCCGCTCGAGTCTCACAAACGCCAACCATAGTCGCGACGTGGAGCCGAAGAAAAGAATCGTCTGTAAGACGTGGCGTCTGTAGGACATAACATCGCGTATTAATGTTTTTAATTACGTTTTTTATTCTATTTTTTATTTATATTAACAATTCATTAAAGCCGAAGTGGATCTCTGGTAGAAATTTCCCTGTCAGTGCCACGATACTGGCGAGTGCTACGATACTTTGCTATTGCTTTGCCACGCCATAACCACTTAAAAAAATCTGACATGGTTCATAACGTGGTAGAAGGAATTGACATGGGGTGTTTTCCAACAACGTTACACAAGTGACACAGTATAACATTGTGTCTTACACAAAATATTTCAAATATTATATGATATAGTCATGGTATAAGAATATAAAATATTTTATTTCCAAGGATGCGCAGTCGTCTTCAACATGATGGCTGTTCTTTTACCAATCAAAAATTTGTCCTAAATTTGTCTTAAATTTTAAATTAGTTTGTCGGCCATTACGCGCAATGAAATACCTTATATTCTTATACTATGGACACAGTGTTACACTGCTCGACACAGTAA